CATCAGGGATGTTAGCTGATTAATATACGTTAACACACAAGATTCATTAGGGGGAGAGATTTGACTGGGGGAGCAGAAATAACTGGTCTGGTTACCCCAGATGTAAAGTAGGTCTAGGTACTTGCTACTTTTGTTTGGGTAAAGGACACGAGAAAAAGGACTGCCCAGTACTTGCTAAAACTAAGGGACTCCAAGATGTCCAGTTTCCCAGGCCTGTTGCCCTTGCAGCTTCTCCCCACAAGGTTGCTAGGGATGAGGCTATAGCTGCGGTTAAATTCCATACTACCCCGCAACCAGTTGCTGCTGCGGCTTGTAACTATGGACCAGCCCTGCAAGAGGTGAAGCCTCGCCCCTCCCAGTTGGCAGATGAAATTCATCCAGGGTATAACCCTTTCATACGAGAGGGTTATGTGTCTTTGCAAGGAAGTGAAAAAAAATTCCTTGTAAAGATACTGAGAGACACAGGTGCTATCGATTCATACATAACTGAGGGTGTTCTTCCATTTTCCTCTGTAACTGACACTGGAAGTTGTGTATTGTTCAAGGGAATGGGGATGCAGTTGTTGTCTGCTCCAAAGCATCGGTTGGTGTTGTCCTTTGATTTAGGGCAAGGCGAGGTTGCCATGGGATTCCGGCCATCTTTGCCTGTTCCGGGAGTGGCAGTCATCCTCGGAAATGATCTGGCTGGCGGCAGAGTGTAGCCTGATGTGCCTCTTTCACCAGTGGTGTCCTCTAAGCCAGTGAGGGGCGAGCTTGCTGACCCTGAGAAGAATCTGACAAAGGTAGTTCCAGCTTGTGCAGTAACACGAGCCCAGACCTATAAAGCACAAGATAAAAAAGTCATTTCTGAGAATATTGTTTTACATTAAATGATCTTGAGGAGGATGATTTAAAAATCGTTTGTTTGAGCCGGTCTGCATTTCCTGATGAAAAAACAAACCGATGCTTTTTGTAGTTGTAGTACACCAACATGGATTAAACGTGTGTTTTTTTTCCTACAATGTTGGGGATATTAATGGATAAAATGCACGGATTATGATTATTATTATTATTCCGACTCCGATCGGGACACTAGGTCCACCGTTTCCCCACAGCAAGGCTCCCCCCGTTGACAGTTTACGTGGGCTGGGCTGGGTGCAGTGGCGGACTGGCCATCCGGACTAATCCCGATGGGCCGGTACCGAAGTGGGCCGGTCGGATAAGTCACTAGCACATCCCCCATTCCCCCCGTTGACAATTTACTAGTGGTACCGAAGTGGGCCGGTCGAGAGTCCCGGGCTGATTTTGAGTCCCAGTCCACCACTGGCTACATGACCGTATGATCGCCCATATTGACGCACCTAATTCCTAAACTTCTAACAGATACAACATAAACCGATCCTTCAGCCTCATATGAGCTCTCAGACACGTTCAAAATTAAACTGTCATCGCTGTCTGAGCTTGCTGCTGTGTGCGCCATCGTGCGTTTACATGCAGATGCTGGGATCGTGCAGCTGGAGCGCTGTGCCCGCATTGACGTCACCCATAATTTGGCGGGACTTGAAGAATCCCCGAGAAGATCCAGGAAATGGTCAACATTGAAGGGCAGATTAATGGTTATCAAAGTACAAATATCCAAAATCAGTTCAGTAACGGTTTTCAAGGGGACAATATTTACTCAAATTGATGGGTTTGGATGATGGGGGAAAATCGTGTCACAGGCTCTTTAAGTATGATGTTTTCTGAATGTTTGTTTTTTTGTCATTTAAAAACTGTGTTGTCATTTATTGGCTACACCATTTAATTTCAGTTTGATATAACTAACACAATGTGTGAAAAGGCATTTTCAATGTATTATTTATTCTCGCAGTGAGTGTACTGAAGTCTAGGAACATTTTCATCTGGTAATAATGTGTCTTAAAAATCACACCAAATCAATGGGTTCTGAGCTTATTAATATTAGGTGTTTCAAACACATCAATTTGAAGTTTGTTTGATTTTCTTTTTTGCCAATACTTTATACTACCCGGTATGTTACAAATCTTTTACAAATTCCTTAATTCCTAACCCTTACCTTAACCCTCTACATTAATTCCTTCTTTAATTTAACAAAACATCTTGAATATCCTCTACACACAAGCAGCTAGACAAGAACATTGCCTGGACAAAACGCAACATCACTTTGGCAAAAATCTATATCTAAATCAAGCCAACACAAGTATGAACTGGTCCTGTAATTAATACCAGCGTTAAAGAGTGCTACAGACACATTTAAGTCGTTACCAAAAATGTCCCGAGGTTTGATACCCAGCCCTATTCTGGACATGGGTTTAAGTAGAGCAAGTGTGTGTGTGTGTATTTGTGTGTGTGTGCACCCGAGGTGATAAAGGAGTGTTTATTCATGTTTGTGGCTGCAGCTCTGCCCACATGCTCTCTAATAGACTTACGGGAGCTGGCTGGATTTGCCATCTGAAATAATAAAGTTGTCATCTGTCAGAGCAGAGAGGGGGAGGGTCTGGAGAACTGGACGGTGCAGATTAAAGCCCGGATCTGCCTCCACCTCCTACGCACTTCTCTCCTATACAGTACACATTCTGTAGCAACTACACCTGCAGGCCAAATTGAAGAGCTCCATTCTGTTCAATTCGTGACCGGCATCCCAACACACTGATCCTGCCTCCTCCAGAAACATACCTCAGGAGCCTTCCCAGCAGCACTTTTTATTTCACATCCTTCCCCAGGGGAGCTTTTTGGTCTGGATCCACCAGCCTGTAATTCTGCTCTTCTTGAATCCCAACAGGGTGCACTCTTAATACTCTTGAGAGTATTAACAGCCAAGAAAAAATAAGGTTTAAGGTCCTGCACTTCTTCGTCACCCCTCCGTACACAAACACCTTTCCCACCGGTGTTGTTGAGTGCATTGGGTACATAGAGTTTATGATGTTGTCAGACCGAGCTAGATGTCACGTTTGGCTTTGGCACCAATGTGTCAAACCACCACAGTATAAAGAAATAGGCACATATCAGACTGTTATTGCATCTGGCTAAAAAACACACTCGGACAGCTCCACTTTGTCATACCTTAATAATTCTAATAGTGTTTTTAAAATCTTTCAATTAGGATAAAGCAATGGCATGCAAGATAAAAAACTTTTTTTAAAAGCAATTTTAAATATCTACCTATCTCTTTGTCACAAATGAATTCCTTTTAATATTGTTGTAACATTTCAAAGCATGTCAGGTAGGAAGAGTTAATGCATTGTAAGTACTTGCGCAAATTGGGTAATGGCAAAAATACTCAAAATGTAAAAAAAAAATTCTTCCACGCTCATCAGCTCAAGGAGCATTCAAGTATTTGAAAGACTTGTATATGGTAGTGTTACTATAAAAATGTAATTATTAAAATAGGCTACACATACTGTCAACACTTTAGTAACGTTGCCCAACAACAAGTGACAATAACGTATTCAACATAAGGAGGGAGGCTGTGGCGTTGATGTTCGGATCAGGGGAGCACAGGTTCAAACCCCACTGCAGTCAGCATGTCGTTGTGTCCCTGGGCAAGACACTTCACCCCAAATGGCTCCTGTGGGGATTGGCCACAGTATTGAGTATGTAATTCGCTTTGAATAAAAGCGTCTAACATGTAATGTAATGTAACTTTAAAATCTAGGTTTGATTTCTCCATACAACAACATTGGATCTGCAAAGAAAACCAACTTGAACATTTAAAAAATATAGTAAAGAGTTTTTCAATCCATCTGTAATTTCAAAACTTAAATATAAATGTAACCAGAAAAATGTATGTGTATATAGGACAGAAATAATTACTTAAAAAAAAAATATATAATATCTAATAATTTCGAATGGTCAAATTGTTCAACAAAGACGGGAACATTCATATAAAAGAAGAAAAACATAATATTGATATACTTTACAGAACAAACCACATTTTGTAGGAGTTTCAATCAATCAACCAACGTTTATTCATATAGCCCAATATCACAAATGTTACATTTGTCTCAGTGGACTTTACAGTTTGTACAGAATATCAATATCATGGGTTTAAGTTTACGTTGGATTGTACCAAAATGTTGCCCTCATTGTTTGGGGTGTTTTTACGTGATTTGAATCTGGACAATAACATGAAATGGCAGGGACTTCATCTCTCCACTACTGCTGTTGACACCTTTTGAAATATGTCCCTCTGTCCACATGTAGGAAGGTCCTTCAGCCCTGCCCAGGTCCCATTAACGAGTCCAGCTTTCAACAGAACCTACAGTTCTCGTAATTTAGCCAGGTAAGGTTAAAACACTGCCAACGTGTTTCATCTGTTCTCATGAGAAGCATTTTTGCATACATATCCATTTTTTTCTTTAACAGTTGTGTGTGGGTTATCCTTCGGCTCTCTTCATAGAACAGCACTATTTTTTAAATCAAATCCAGCCAAGACTTTTATATTTGATCCTCCTCTAACATTAACTGCCTTTCATTAGTGACACTGAGTGCTGTAAAGCCAGAAGTAATCTCATAAAATTAAAATTAGTATACGGTGGATACCTTAACCCGAAGCTCCTCACATGGTTGAGAGTTGAAACTTTATTCCTGGCACACTATTGTCTTCTTTAGTTACCACAAGCGGTTTGTTATTGATTTGTGGATCCTAATGGTCTGTCTGTGTTTTCTGAAACAAGCCGTGCTGTCCAGCGCAGCATTGCCATAATCAGAAATGCTCGTCAGAAGAAGCAGCCGAAGCAGTACTGCATGTACTACAACCGCTTCGGCAAGTGTAACCGTGGCGACAGCTGTCCCTACATCCACGACCCGGACAAGGTTGCCGTCTGCACCAGGTAAATAACAGTTGACACACAAGATCATGACCTTTTTTAATACATAAGGCTCAGGGGATGAGTCTTGGGATTTTTGGTCATCTGTCAACCCAATAGAGTTGCAAAGTAAGAGTTGTTGTTTTTCGGCTTCAAGGTTTAAGGAAGTAAAAGTGGTTTCATTGCTCAGTGTTATTCGGTGTCTGGATTCGGACACTTCACGTTGTACACTGAACACTAGCGCAGTGTGTGAATTTCAACCAGGTAATGTTGTCTCAAATGGCAAACTGCTGTACCCTCACATGAAGTGACAATTGCCACTGTTGGCTAGCAACTAACTAACCAACTAACATTCCTTGCTAGCTATCAAGCTACATTATGTTTTGCGGCAGCAAATCATTATACACAGCTGAATCAACCCAATAAAATGTGTGCTTCTTTTAATCACCAGACTAGTTGAACTTCAATGAAAAAGTGAAAGAAAAACACATTTTATTTGCGAGACGCATATGGGCATTCGTTAAGTGAGGGTTGGGAAGTGTAACTCAAATGTTTGCCCATTATGAATGCACCACACTCTCATCCAACTGCAATGTCCCATGGTTGGCTGGGAATATTTGTTGTCAATCATTCCCCATATATCTACCTATTAACGTCCCGTCACATCCTCAGCTGTCACTTTCTAATAAAAGCATAACAAATAACATCTTCAACTAAACTATGGTGGGCTTGCTGCTTTTAGACTCATTCATAATAGCAAACTGAGGCAGAAGTTGTATTTTTTGTAAAAAAATCTGAATAGTTCAATCTGATGGCTATAACATATGTCTCCTGTTACATTTTCCCTGAGATGCTGTGTTTCCACGTTTATTTCAATTAAGGATATCTTAAAAAGAAGCTTGTAACAACTTCCAGAAACAGCAGCTCTTCTTACTTTGCATCTCTATTAGCCTGTACGTTTTCCCACCTGTTTCTGTGCTTTGTGTACAGGTTTCTCCGGGGGACGTGCAAACTGGCTGACGGCTCCTGCCCATTCTCCCATAAGGTGGCAAAGGAAAAGGTAACGTGCTTCCACACATAACCTAAGCGGTTAATAGCAGTTGTATTGGTTCTTATTGCAAAGGCCACATGTGTTGGTATAAGATGACACCATTGGGTACAGTCATCAAGGATCGTATTTGTGCTCTTGGAACATGTCCATTTTCCATGACATGGGAAGGAGCAAGGAAGACTTAACCCAATGAGGGGGGGGGGTCTTTTGGGTATGGGAACATCCTAAAGGTTAGAGCTTGTCACTTTTTGGGATCTACACCCCAGCAGTTTGCTTAATTGCTTGTTTTCTACCTCATCAACTCCTTTTTATCAAAGAGTGTATAACTATCAGTGAAAATTGCTGAAAACAAAAACAAAGTGGCAAAAGTGTAAGTTACCACAGATCGGTCTCGCTCTGGTTTGCACATAAATCAACATGGAACATTATCTTCAGCACAGACCTGTGGTTACACACCTTATCCTCCTGGGTAGAATCAGCAACTCAGTCAATCTTAGGTGACATGGATGCATATAAATATGACGACATTTATTCAGTAGATAAAAAGATTAATTTTGATTGCAAATTCAAACTTCCACAAGATTTGTTGATTTTGGAAATGTCTACTTGGGCTCTGGAAATAATGATTCACATTTTCGACAAGCTACTATACGATTATTAATTAAATTGCCATAATAATAAAGAATGATAATATTTGTAAGTTGGAATACTTAAATTACACACGATTAAGGAAATGTTCAAATTCGGCTCTGATCGTAACAACATCGGGCCATTCGTGAGGGCATCTTAAGCCATCGTATGACCACCGGTCGAGTTTCTCAGGCTCCGGCAGCAACTTCGGGAGCGGTGGCAAAATATTTGGCATCACAAAGCATTGCCGAAGGACCTTGTGAAGGTTCATTTTCGTGTTGACTTTGTGTGTCAATTTTGCCCTTCGTAAGGCATTCGTGAGGGCATCTTAAGCCATCGTATGACCGCCGGTGGAATTTATCAGGCTCCGACAGCAACTTCGGGAGCGGTGGCAAAATATTTGGCATGGCTTAAGATGCCCTCACGAATGGCCCG